TGAGGCTGTGCAAGCATTAAGAGCTTTAACCTGATTAACTTACATTTGTATGCTACTTTGGCAAATTATGAAAGACTTAAGGCTGATATAAACGCAGAAACCAGGTTATCTACTTTTGTGTCGCAGTGAACGCAAATGTGCCCCCGCCCCTTCCTCAGACACTCTGGTGCACCTTTCCAAAATTGTAAGTGACCTCAGACAGTGCCACAGACAGGAGGCCTCTGATTGGTTAAATCTACATCCGCTCTACACTATGCGTATTTCCTGTTTGGTACCTTACCTGCTTGTTTTGTTTATATGACCGCCATCGTGGAAAGCGACTTGTAAAGTTGGACCAGCTAGAATAGCAAGGTGTGTGAGAACGCTGGGGCTCTTTTTCTACCTGGATCCCCACTCTTTTCCATCCTAGTGTCCCTCCGTTGTTACACAAACTTGCCCCCACTTCCTCACCGCCTCAGCCGTATCTAGACCTACAGCTAGTTTGTGATTGTCCCTCTTGCGTTGTGGCGTGCAATAACTTAGCGCAGACCGTGCTTCAATATTGGGCATAAATTAGAAATATCTGCGTTAAGCTCGCTGCAACACACTGCTGCGGGGAGGATAACCAGCCCATTACTGTTTCAACTGGTTGTTATATATGGAGCCTAGGCGGAAGAAGCTCATTGTTTTTCATACTCCCACCTGCGACACAACCAATAAACTTTGAACCACAGCTCCACAAAAGCTAATCGGCATCTAAAGCTCATCTTAAAAGGCCTCTGATACGCACCTGTCTGCTCCTATGCGCAGGCGACGATGCGCTGTGACTTCATTCAGATGACACCGTTTCAACCCACCTCCAGCCCCTCCTCCAGCATCGTAGCTAAAGCTTCATCAGACTGCCATTCCTCCCGGACTCTTGCTGCGTTCCCTGTCTGTTCCCTGCCTGGTTCTGCCAGAGGTTTCTTCCCAACGGGGAGTTTTTCCTCTCCACTGTCACTCCATGCTTGCTCATCATGGACAGGTTCTCTCAACCTGTGCTATCCAACTGGACTTCCATCTTCCAGGTCCCTGAGTGAAGCTGTAGTATCAGCGCACGCAGTCCACTGGATCTCCCCATAAAGCTCAGCATACTTTTTTCTCTTCGTGTGAGTTTTTCAGATTGAAATGAGTGTTGCTGAATTAGATGCAGTAACAGGTGGTCAGTTACACACACCAGCCCCATCTGAATCCCTGCTAAAACCAGATCACCCGCCACCTCAATGTAAAACACAAGGCTTATAAAGATGGATTAATTAAGGGTGTGAATAACTTTATCTTTTGGTTATTAGAAAATTTATCAGGTAATATAATCTAATAAAATTACTGGCAAAATAAAAATACCCCTTTTTTCCCTTTAATTGCAGTTTTATACAAATAAAAAAACCAAGTAGTATTATGGAAATAACTGTGCATAGGAAGAGATACAAATACTACTACATACTAGTCACCACCATTATATCTTAAATTATCAGAAGTAAAATGTCTAATCAATAACCCTTGCAAATTAGCAACACTGAATAGATAGATAATAGAAATCTTGTCTACAACCCACTGTCTACATGTTGTCTACAACCCAGATTATCCCACATAAAGTCATCAAAGTCATGTCAGACCTGTATCACTCTAAATCACTTAATCTTGCCTCAATAGTATACTTACTTTCATTTCATATATTTCCCCCAGACTGGTGCTGCATTGCTGTGTTTTTATCCTCAGAATGGTATTTTGGTGTTAAAGACTTTGGGCACAACAGTTGCAGTGGCTGAGTTTTATTTCCTACATGCTCTATGAAACAAACCTGGGTTACCTGGTTTGCTGATCAGTGGGTCTCTGGGAAGGTGAAGGGCTCATTCATGTTTTTCTATAACCGATAGCAAAGCTTTTCTTCACAAAATATTTCACTAACCTTTTCAAAAATTGCTAATTTGGTAAAGTTTGCTAATTTCCCCTTGAGACAAGTCATTCAATTACATGTTGTAGACTAACAATACTGTATAAACTAAAGCATGAGGGTTATTGTTTAACATGAAACTGATGTCATCTATTGAACAAGAAAAGTTTTCTTTAGTTCTAAATAAAAGCTATTATAACTAATCTACAGCTTAATATCAAATATAGTCCATGCAAACATGAAGTGAGCCTTAGAGGTAGAGTAAATTGGTAGTTAACCCTTATCCAAAGCTGCTTTAAAAACCATCTGTTTCTGTGTCTTTCCAATGGACACAACAGATTTAGAAGTGAGTGTTGTTGTGTGTGTTAGTGCAAGTGCAATTACACAAGAGCATTGCCTCCACGCCCAAGTAGTTGGAGACATATGCTTTCTGGTTTGGGCCAGTCATCTCTGGCCACCAGTTTGCAGCCTCCCACATGTCTGCTCTTAAAATGTTTTCTGTGTCCTGTGGATTTTTCCAGTAGATGCGCCTCAAACAGTGCTGATTAGCTATCTACCATCTGCTGAGCTACGTGAGGGGAGCAGCTCATTATTCTGCCCGTTGCGCCTGCTCTGAAACCGTCTCTCCACTCCAGCTATCAGGCAAAGCTGCGGGGACTCCTCATAGCCAAGCAGCAGGGAGCAGCTCGATGATTGCAGAGTTATAGTGCACGAAAAGTGGTTGAGTTGTAAGCATCTGTCTGTCAGCGTATGGGCTGTTCAATGGCCAATCTTTTGCTTTCCAGCTGCGACCATACAATGTGCTTTTGTTCCATGTGGGATGAGATTAATCTTAAAAAATTGTGTGCATCCAAGGTCATCCGGAGACGTTATCTTTACAGTGGGAAAGATAAGCCTGTCTTGTTAAATCATGTTTTATAAAAGGGTTGTAGTAACTATTAGCTCTTTACAATGACTTTATGTCCAATAAACGTCCAGTCTTGCTATTTGAAAAATATAGTGTCACTCTTATAACGTATTCATACTCCTAAAGGCTTCACAGCTAACACTGACCTTAAAAGAAAAATGTATTTCATGTAATTTTATCATTAAATTATGCAAAGATAATTTTAAGCTCCTATGTTGCTTATTGTCATGTTGCTTTGAGTCTGAAAACATAGTTTTCACAACTCAGAGATTAACCCTGTCATGCATGAATTATTATAAACAGGATATTTTACTAAGAGTTTTTATACATCCTTAGGAATGTCAAACAAGGTTTAAAAAAATTATATCTTCTATAAATATTTATCTGTTCACTCAAGTGTACTTTATAGATTTTATACTGTAAAAAGCAGTATGCCAACAAGGTAGTTGCATGGATTTAATTGTAAATTAGTTTTCCAGTTGTAATATGGTATTCTGTTGGAATGGTGGTTCCTCTGCTCCCTTGTAGAAAGTGAAATAACCAAGGTGTTTGGTCTTTTTCCGTGTGTTTAAGCCATCTTGATTTACTGACTTTTTTTACCATAACGATCAACAAATGGGATTTTTCAGTAGCGGATGATGGAATAGCTTCCACTAGACTGGACTATATGCACAAGTGCCCAAAATTGAAGTCATGTATATAGAAAAAAAAAATACTTTTAAAAGCCTCTACACTGTAGTGATCACTATGCATGAAAGGGCTGCTGATGGTGATATCTTATTAACATGGTCTCTGTGATGCAATGGTGCTGGTCTAGATGTTTAGATGGAGGTTCTTTACTTTGGATTCAAAATTGTGTTGTGACTGAAAAGAGGCTTGAAAAGCTACTTCTTGTTGAAGTAAAGCTCTTATCGAAGATGGGTTCAAAACACAGTCTGGAGGCCCAGCAGAGCTTATTTAAAATAGATGACTGAAATTGTATTTTGATGCACAACAAACATCTGTTGCTATGGCATTCCAGTTTCAATGATTATGATAGTCAGAAGGCCCTTAAAGTAAGATAGACAAGGTTTAAAAGATATGTTTTTTCATATATTAGAGCATTTCAATTTAAAATGAAACTAAATGGTTAAGCTTCATGAGCTCCGTTTTTGTCTAATTTAATACAGTCCAGTGCAGCTGCAGATGGTCTTCTATAAAAACAATCATCCAATTTTCTAAAAGGCCACAAAATCATTCTATTTAAAAAAGAGAAGAAAAAAAAA